AAGTTTTTGTTAGAAAATTTTGAACACCACTTGGTCATTTATTGTTACCATAATTCTAAATAAGTTTATTCATACTTAAAAATGATGTAGTTACTTAAAATAAATGTAAATCTTAATGAATAGTAGGAAATATTTAGTTATGTACACTTTTTTTTTTAAATAAAATTGTTACTATTTTACGATTTTTTTATTTATTTGTATGCATATTTTGTAAAATATTTGCATATTTTCGGGTAAACACGTGCATATTTATGCGCATATTTTCTACATTTTTATTTGCATATTTGCCGAAGTCTAGTGATAACCGTCTCTTCAACGTTTTAAATACCCGATGCTTGCAAATTCAGACGATTATATACCGTTTTTAGATTAACTTTGATCAAATAAAAGGCAGATATCGAGCACATTTTTATTAATTAAATCTTGCCTAAGTACTTTTGCTTCCTAGAATATCTTCAGGGGCATCTGAAATAAGCCAAGAAACGTTTTTTTAACCGAAAAAATTAATTAACTTCAATGAAAACTTGATAAAAGTTTTCATGTGATTAACGTTTTAGACTTACTTCGTCAATTGTGGCCTATCCAATAAGAATAAAATGTTATAAACATAAAATTTTACATCACATCACACTACACAAGGACAAACACTTTAAAATTTTTAAAATAGGCGAAGCTACATTATGCATGGAAACCGAAGTGAAAATGGCTCCCGATCTTAACGGAAATGTTGAGGTGACATGTGACGTATGACAGCTTGGATAGGCAGTCACAATCATGGATATGTGATCTGCACATTTCAAAATTCTATGAAACTAAGCATTGATCAAAGGTCCAACTGAAACTACTATAGGAAGTCAACTGATGAAATATGAAGTTATATAGAATATTTTAAGTAGATTGCATAATCCAGATCTCACACTCAAACCTGTCTATAATAATTAGGGTGTAAGTTTGAAAGCAACTGAAGTCGACGTATGAATGCAAGAAATAGACTAAACAATATATTAGACAGTGGGTGGTTGACTACAATAAAAAGGTCTACCAAGCACTACCAATACTGTAGAAAAGAAGAAGTCTAAATATGTAATTAAAATACTAAAAATTAAAAATCAAAATTGAAAGCAAAGTATAAGATGAGGTAGAATTTAAGTAGTTCAGTTGAACGCATAGCCAATGGGAGAACTATAAAGTTAATAAAAAGAAAATTATATTTGGTTTCTAAAATTAGTATACGGATTTTTATAAAATTAATATGTCAAAGCTTTACTCAAGACCAACTGACCAACAAAGTATAAAAATAATAAATTCTTAATGGTTATACTCAGTGCAGTAAGTCTAAACAGCCGAGCTGGGTCCACTACGAGGTAAAGCTGCAATAAAGTTTTTAAAAATAGGTTTAAATTTAGTACAATTTAAATTAATTTGAGTATTAAGACAGTGAAAGTTTTCATTTGTTTCCTTTGTAATCTTCAAATCTTTCAATAAATCCAACTCCAGATAGTTTTTCTTTCTACTAATGACATGTAAAATAGATGAATCAGTATTGATGTTAAAATAACATAAAAAGTATAAAAGAGTATAAAAAGGACGGTCAACTTCTATCCTGTGCGGATGCACACTTGTTTACCTTTACGAAGAGAGTTGTACATAATCCATATCTGCAAAGTATATTGTCTACTTACGTTAGTATAAAAAGTGCACCCCGTATGTTTTGTAAACATGATCAGGGCAAATTATTGCCTCATGGCTATCAAAGAACTGTCTAAGACCAACATATATTCTTACCGGACACCGGAAGTACAATAACAACTTAAAAAATAATTACTTGTTCTTCGTAGACAAAATATAGTATGCAGCTCGTTACGGTTTTCACACGTGTGACAGTCTCAAATCGTTAAACATCAAAATATGTCTGTCATGTTTGTGTCATATCCCCCCGTCGATGTAGCTTCGTTCTGACATTAGCAAAATTTACAATTTACAGTTAATATAAATAAAATTCAGTACGTACGTAAGCTGTTTAAACAACTACTAAGCAAGACTGCAGTAAGTCCAGTAAACTAAGCATAAACGCAATATGTCATTATGTCATCATCATCAATCAGCCAATCTCGTCCACTGCTGTACATACGCCTCCCTCAGTTCTTTCCAGTGTCCTCTACACTGTGCCGCTTGTATCCTGTTTCTCGCTACACGTTTTATATCATCGGTCCATCTAGTCGGTGGTCGTCCTCGGCTTCTTTTATAGTTTCTGGGCCTCCATTCCATAATACGTCTTGTCCACCGTCCATCTTGTGTTCTGGCTAAGTGCCCTGCGTAGTTCCACTCAAGCGTCGTGGTTCTTTCGATGACGTCTTGAACTCCTGATCTTTGCCTGATTTGTTGGTTTGTTATGTGGCCTCCACGGCACACGTTCAGCATTGCACGTTCCATGGCTCGTTATGTAACTCTGAGTTTATTCGCAGATTTTTGCATGAGTGTTAAAGTCTCTGTTCCATAAGTTTGTACAGGCAAAACACAGTTTTGAATGCATCATAGAAACTGTATCATGTAAGTTATCTGCGATTAATACAACATCATCTGCAAACCTTAGGTGATTTAATCTTTCTCCATCTATATTGATACCCATATCTTGCCATTGAGTGCTCTTAAATATTGACTTTAGAGCTGCTGTGAACAATTTTGTTGAAATATTGTCTCCTTGTAGAACTCCTCGACCTAAGCTGAATTGTTCTGTATCTTCGTGTAGTCGTATACTTGATGTCGCGTTCTCGTATATGTTTTTGATTAGTTTCGTGTACCTGTAATCTATTTGGCTTTGATTTAGGGCTTGTTTCAAACTCTACAGAATCAAAAGCCTTCTCGTAATCGACAAATGCAAGAACCAGTGGTATGTTGAACTCGATACACTTTTCTATTAAGATATTTATGGTATGCAAATGGTCATTTGTGCCATATCCTGCCCTGAAGCCTGCCTGTTCTTTGGGCTGATAGAAAGCAAGTTTAGGTGTCAGCCTCTTTGTTAAGATTTTGATAAAGAGTTTGTACATATGTGTCAAGAGGCTGATGGGTCTATAATTTTCTAATTTAGTAATATCGCCTTTTTTGTGTAACAAGGCTATTACTGCATTGTTCCAGTCTTTTGGAATCGTACCCGCATGTAAACATTTATTAAACAGTTCGCTTACTGATTTTAATAAAATTTCTCCCCCTGCTTTTATTGCCTCGATAACGAGTCCATCATCACCAGGCGATAGATGGTTCTTCACAGACGGCACTTCTGACACAGTAATAGGTAGAAGTATTTCCGATCCCTGATTTATGAGAGTCTTTACTCGTGTCGGGAAATTGTCTTGTGGTCTTTGGCTGGTATAGAGGTCTTTATAAAACTCTCTAGTTATTTTCAGAATGTTTTGTTTATCTGTTGTTGCCTTTCTCTTTATCTCTCTGCTTGTATATTTCTTTTCTACTTTGTGTTAGTTTTCTTTTCATTATCTGTAAACCTTTGTTCTCTTCTACTGTTTGAGTAATTACATTAGTATTATATCTTCTTACATCTATTCTAATTTCCGCTGAAATTCTTTTATTTAGTTTTTTATATTCTTCTTTGTTTCCCTTTTCGTTCTCGCTTAGGTTTCGTCGTATTTCCATGCGAGCTTTTGTATTTTTGCTAATCTTTTCACTTTTGGTGTCATTTTTCTTGCAAAATTGGAGTTGTGCGTTTCTAACCGAGTCTGTTATTAATTTATTGTGATCGTCGATACTTAGAGGTTTGGGATTGGGATTATTACTCTGTAAAGTTTCGGCTATTTTTTTTTATGTATGCTTCTGGATGATTTGGTAAATTCCAAACTATGCGTTTGCAACTGTTTATCATCTTTGCTCTTTCTTTTTGAATATTTATCGTTATTCTAGCTCTTACTGGTCTGTGGTCGCTTCCTACTGATAGTTTATTAAGTACACTGACATCTTGAATAATTTGCTTTTTGTCTGTTATTATATAATCATATTCGCTCTTAGTTCTTCCGCCTGGACTAGCCCACATCCATTTTCTATTTTGTTTCTTCTTAAAAAAGGTGTTCATTGCATACAGTTTGTGTTGCAGTAGAACGTTGGTAAGCATTTCGCCTCTTTCGTTTCTTATTCCGATTCTAAAATCTCCGATTGTCACTTCTTGTTCGACCTTTTTCCTTCTCAGTTTCCCGTTAAAATCTCCCATTATCAGATTGTAATGAGCCGGTTCCTGCTTTTTTGCTCTTTCGATTTCCTCATAGAAGGCTTCGACAATTTCATCTTTGTAATCGCTGGTGGGGGTGTATACCTGGATTATTTTCAGATTGTATCTCTTATTTATTCTTTGATTTATATACATAACTCTTGGGGAAATTCAGTCAATACTCCGTATATTTTTCTGTATTTTTTTGTGTACTGATAAACCTATTCCTCCAGTTGTCGATTCCGTTTGCCCTTTATAGTGGAACGCAATATGTACAAAGGAGTTACTGCATTTTTGGTTAGTCTATTAGACTTGAGGCAGTCTTACTTACTATGTTGAAACTTTTAAAGCCCTGCAAAAAATTCTTTTAAGTATACCTCAATCACTGTTGGAGATATTGCAATTTGGAGTAGCCCATTGAATTCTGAATGGTTGAAAATGTAGGAAACCATATTATACTCTCATAACTCAATATTTAATATTTTTGGACTTACGACACTTTTCCTTAGCTGGGCAGCATACAAAAGTGTAGTGCTAATTGTGTGTTTATACCTAAATAGGCGATAAGGGCAGCATATCAATAAATATGTTCGTCCCATGTTAATAATATACAATGTACACGTAATAAATTCTTAAAAATAATATTAAGTTCTTATACGCTGCGATTTATATGCAAATTTTAATATAACTGACAGGTCCATAGAAAAACTAGAGGAATTCTATTGTAATAAATAATTAAGATGTCACCGTCTTAACGCTAGATGTTGTCATATTTATAAATGTCATTGATGATTAGTGGCATTTAAAATGAGTGTCGAAATAAATATAACTAACGGTTTTCCACCTGATATTATAACGCAATTTAAAGAAGCGTTTGCATTTTTTGATAAACATCAAACAGGCGAAATTTCGACTTCCCAGTTAGGAACTATAATGAGAGCATTGGGACAAAACCCCACAGAAAAAGAGTTAAAGGTAAGGCTGGCTATAGAATTTAGTAAAAAAAATTGTTACACAACTTTTTACAGATCTTTAGTGATTGATGACTCAGTGTACTATTTTTATTGGGAATAACTCACTATTTAGTGCGAGGAAATACCTATATTCCAGCTGGTATTCTTGCTTTAATTTCTTCGATCGAACTTTTGTCGCATACCTGGGTATCTCTACCCAAATTAACATTTCTGTGTGGCCTTTATACCTATCTTCTATTACGATAATTATCAAGTATTTGATCACCTTCAAGTTTAAGATTAAGTTTATCGACGTCCTTCATTCTCATATTCGCAGCAGTTTTTTTAATACCGGTAAGTTTATGCTTTGTCTGTTGTTTACTTATTTTTGTAGAAGATCACTGCAGAAGTTGATAAACAAGAATTCGGCACAATAAGTTTTGATACATTTATTAACATGATGAAATGCAAGCTTTGCACTACGAATATGGTAGAAGAACTACGAGAATCCTTCCAAGTTTTAGATAGAAAAAGTACTGGTGTTATTAGTATCTTTGATTTACGTGATATCTTGACTAGCACCGGTGATAAATTTGACGATGATGAAATTGAAGAAATGATGAAGGACGTTGTGTTAAATGACAACGATGAAGTTGTATACGATGAATATATTAATACTTTAGCTTCCAAATAAATTTTTTTTGAAAGTATTAAGTATTTAATAAACCTTAATATTTAATAAAGTTGTTAATAATTTAAAAAATTTTTAAAAGTTTGTTTACGTTTTACGTAACATTTTTTAAAAAACTAAAATTAATTTGTTTTGCTACATTAAAAAAAGCAATCTGCATTACGAATCGGTTGGCCATGACTGTATATATTAAAGAGTACTACCTAGAGTACTCCTCTTTGTGGTACGTCTATTTGTTTGCTCCTGAAACTTAACATGAAAACTTCGGTTAGTAAGAACTGAGCGATAATATCTAGATGATAAATTACGTTTATAAATTTTAAACGAAATATCGAATGCGAAATGTGTACAAAAAATAAACTTTGACGCATTATGGATCGGTTGGTCATTAGTGTATACATTAAAGAATACTGCCGAGAATACTTCTCCTGGTGGTACTACGTTTTTTTTTGAGAATTCCATCTACTTGTTTTCTCCTGGAACTCGACATGGAAATGTCGTCGGTAAATCCGAACTGAGCGATGATATCTGAATGATAAATTATGTTTTTAAAATGTGAACGAAATATCCTCTACGAAAGCTGAGACCGTGGCCGGTCTTAGCTTTTGTGGAGGAAGAGTTCTGAACTGAGTAGGGATTCTTCAGCGCTTCGCAGAAGACAGACTGTGCGGGGAAGTCCTCAACCCCGACAAGGCGCGTCCCATATGGCTAATAGGGGACGTCCTATATATCATACAGAATAGGTGCGAATAAGGTTCGCCCAATAAGCACCCGCGGATCAACTGAGGATGCACTGCGGATGGTATAGGCAGCAGCTATGTCATTACTAACTTCAAAGCTAGGGAAGAATGACTTTTTAATAGGCTTGGAATCAGATACTTATGGGCGGCAATCAGTTATTGGTTTAATCGGCTGTAATACTGCGGTGTCTAAGGCAAGAAAAAACCAATACACTAAATATTCTCAAGGTATAACTATAGCAAGTTACGGAAAAAAAGGCCCCTAGGCCGTGGCAGACCTTAGATGGTCTAGGTGTGCTAAGAATCCCCACGACAAATGCTAGGAACTACCCGAGAGTGGAAAACAAAAATTACAAGGTAAAAATTGGAACCTGGAATGCAAAATATCTCTTTATGCCAGGAAAATCTAGTAACATCGTAAAAGAAATGAAAAGAATGGGAGTCAACATTCTCGGAGTCAGTGAAGTTTGATGGCCTATATCTGGACAGATAAACATCGATAACTATGTAATATACTATGCTGGTAAAGAAAAGCAGTAAATGCATAAAAAACTTTATACCTACATCTGATAGATTAGCTTTGCTGCAAATTATTACCACACCTCGTAATATTAACTTTATTCAAGGATATCCTCCTACAGCAGAAAAACCAGAAAGAGAAGTACAAGAATTCTACCAAGAGATCAAACAGCTAATGAAGATTACAAAGAAAAATGCTGTAAACATTATTATGGGAGATTTTAATGCCAAAGTTGGTGAAGGGCGGACCGAAGATGTCGTAGGAAACTTTGGTTTGGGCCAAAGAAATGATAGAGGAGAAATAATGGTCCAATTTTGCTAAGAAAAAAATATAATGATCGCAAACACCTGGTTTAAACAACCAAAAAGAAGATTATATACATGGGAAGCACTTGGCGATAATCAAAACTGCATAATAAGAAATCAGATTAATTATATATTAATTGACAAACGTTATAGAAACTAAAGAAAATCATATACAGACAGAAGATCTAATCTAGCCTTAAAAAACTTAGAGATCCAATAGTACAGGCAAAAATAGAGAAAACACTCAATGATACACCCAATGAAAAGTTTAGTGAAGCACCTGCGGAAGCAGAAGAAACAATAGAAAGTATTTGTCACACCTTCAATCTACAATCTTCAAAACTACAATCACAACTATACGTGGATGACAGAAGAAGTCGTAGAACTGATGGACATAAGGAGATCTTAGAAAAATCGCAATGAAGAAAAATATAAAGAAACTCAGAGAATCATCCGAAACAAAATCAGGACAGCCAAAGAAGAATGGATGAGCAGCAACTGTAAGGAACTGGGAGATTTATTAAAAAAGCATGACTACTTTATTGCATACAAAAAGATTAAGTAAGTCACAAATATGAAGAAAATAATCACTATAACAACTTTAGTAGATGATAGCAACCAAATAGTATCTAGTCCAGAAAATGTAAGAGATATGTGGGAAAGTACATCAAAGATCTGTTTGATGACGAGAGAACAGAACCACAAATTAATATAGTACAAGAAACACTACTTGATATATTAACATCGGAAATTACAAAAACAATCAATACGGCAAAGCCACGAAAAGCCTCCGGTCCAGATGAAATATACGTAGAGATGATAAAGCTTATCAATGAAGAAAATCTTCAGACACCTGACACTATTTATTTACTGTTAACACTATTATTTACCAAAATATATACCACTGGAAATTTCCCAGAAGACTGGCTTAGATCGACATTTATACCTTAACCCAAGAAAAATAAAACAAACAGATGCTCACAGTTTAGATTACTTAGCCTGAGAGCCATTTTCTGAAAATTTTACTCAAACTTGTACATCAACGGATATACAGAGAATGCGAAAGAAACCTGAGCGAGAATCAGTTTGGATTTCGTATGGGATTTGGTACAAGAAAGGCAATATTTGGCCTCCAGATATTACTACAAAAATGCCGAGATCAGCAAAAAGAGGTGTTTCTCTGTTTTATCGACTACGAAAAATCGTTTGATCGAAGTGAAATACATAAAAACCCTAATACAACATGGTATAGACCATAACACTGTAGTACTTAAAAAACTATATTAGGATCAAATGGCGTCGATCAAAATAGACAATCGTCTGACAGCAGAATAGTCAATGAAAAGAGGAGTTCGTCAGGGCTGTGTACTTTCTCCACTGTTATTTAATATATATTCCAAAAATATCTTTCAAAATGCCCTCGAAAATATTGAATAAGGGATAAAAATCAATGGAGAGTACGTAAACAACTTAAGATACGCAGACGACACCGTTATTATAGCGGACAGTGCTGAGGGTTTACAACGACTTTTGAATGTCATAACCAGAGAGGGAGATAGCTTGGGACTAAATATAAATACAAATAAAACAAAAGTAGTGGCTATTACACGTGCACCAAATGTCATATTGATATTCATACCTATAACAAACATATAGAACCAGTAAAAAGATTCCAGTATCTTGGTTGCTGGATAACAAACGATCTTAACCACGAGGTCGAAATACGTGCTCATATAGAATATGCTAGGTTCGCATTTCAACGAATGAAAAAAAATCCTAATACTCTACGTTATCGTTGGATATCCGATACCAATTTGTAAAAACGTTTATTTATTCCATATTACTATACGGAGCGCAAACATGGACTCTCGGAATTACAAGTATGAGGTATATAGAAGCCTTTGAGATGTGGGTTTTTCGAAGGATGCTGAAGATCTCTTGGACAGAGCACGTGACCAACAACGAGGTGCTAAGAAGAGTACTGAGAGGTAACTCCTAAATATTGTAAAAACCAGAAAAACGAGTTATCTAGGACATATTTACACAGGAGAAAAATACAAATTGCTACGACTTATAATGGAAGGCAAAGTGGAAGGAAGAAGAGGTCCAGGAAGAAGAAAATGCTCCTGGTTGAAGAATGTATGAGACTGGGCAGGCGTGGACACACATTCGATGCTAATAACAGCTCAAGATAGAGAGCAATTTGCTGTAGTTATAGCTAAACTTCAGTAATGGAGAAGGCACCTTAAGAAGAAGAACGAAATATCATACAGCCCCAGCTGAATCTCGGTCTTCTCTGGTCTGACTCGCTAGTTGCTTCTGTTCATTGGCCAAACGTTTGCATCTATAAATCAGCTATTTGTTATGCATATCAATACTTTAATTTTCTCTTAATTGATTGTGAGGCTAATATTTTCTACAGCAGTTAAAAAGAAGATAAGCATTTGTTTAGCTTTTCATTCGGTGCGAGCGAAATCCAGATCGCGTTAATCCAGATTGCGTTAGTTTATTGAAGATAGTTTCCTATGTTTATCCGGTTTTTTATATTATATGAAAGTCCAATATTAGATTGTCTCCAAATCCATTTTAAATAATCAAGCTAGTGTAAATGTAAGAAAGGTATTTTAAAAATCAGAGCATAAAAAATATTCAGTTCTTACTTTTCTGGCACCAAAATAGCTGCTGCAGTATGATATTACCTATACTTACAAAAGAGTTTCTCTAAATTTGTATGTACAGTAGACTTGCGATTATCCGAGTCCCGATTAACCGAGCTTCTGGATTAACCGAGGTAGTAATTGAAAAGAACAAATTATGTAATAAATTAGCTTAAGAGTGATATCAAATAAAAGCGTTGCACTGATTTTTGGTATGCTGAAGAGATGAGTCATTAGCGAGTGTTATTGTTCTAGCCACTGTGCTTCTACTGGCCGCCTCACAAGCCACTCCTCCACCCGTCAGTTTCAGTCATAACAGCTAGTTCTTCGGTTCGTCCCACTGTAAGCTCTTACAAGTTCATTCATGTCTTCTCTTTGTGTAGTGTCTACGTAACTTAAGGTACAATATAAATTTAAAATGTAAACAAGTTGTGCTTTCTTTAGAAACAAAATTAAGTGCTATAAAACTCTTGGATAAGGGTGAGTCAGTAAATAAGGTTGCTGCTAGCCTAAGTATTGCAAAAGTGAATGTGTGAATGTGGGAGATTGAAAACGTAAATGAAAATATATTAAACAATCGGTTAATAAAAGTGTGAGTGGTGGAAGTAATTTGTTGCGGAAAACTACGAAGAAAGGAGAATACGAACAGATCTTTGAAGCCTTATTTTTATGGTTTTTTAATCTTCGAGGGTTGGAAAGTCCAAACAGCAGCCCCTTGTTTTAAGCTAAGGCTGTCGAATTTCACAAAGAGTTTAAGAATGGCGAGGAAAATTTTACTGTAAGTGATGGTTAGCTCTACAGATGGAAGAAGAGGTACGG